TGAGGGTCCAGAGTGTATGTAGGCATCGCGATTGACTTCTTGCTGTTTCGAGGACATATGATATTTTATCGTCTGTGTGGATACAAAGTTGAGCACTTGGACAATGGCAAAATATTTTGGACTAGAACGACTGGATTCTTTGGAGGTTGGGTATGAACCTTACAGTTCCAGTTTGGTTCTAATAATGAAGATCTAGATTAAGTGTAATAATGAAGATGCAGTGAGAGTTTTGATTTGTTGTCAAGTAACCTTGTGAGAAGTTAATCTCGTATGTTTAGTTCTATTTTTTTTTCTTTTACGAGGGTTTGCAACAGCAGAGGTCATATCAACCCTCGGGGTGCCAGTGTTTTTGAAAAAAAGCCCATTTGTAAGTATGTCGGGTTCGAATGCCGGGCCGCTGGATTCGAACCCGGGACCTTCACCTTACAGTGATGAGCGCCGTGTCAACGCCTAAACCGTTGCGGCCACCGACGCCCCCGTTTAGTTCTATTATTTTTCCTGATGTGTAGGGGTTCCAAGTATGTCATTTGTCCAATTAAATTTCCAAATAACGGACAACATTAGTTAATGAGAGAAGAATTTCATTGCTATCAAGTTGTTATCTTTCGTATAGTGAAAGCGACATGTTTTTGCACTTTTGATGTCAAAGAGTATGAGAAGGATTTTCAGATTTCTGGTCAAGATGACGGAACATTTATTCAAGGGATGGTGGTATCATCCGAGTCGTCGTAGATTTGAGAAGAGGTCATAAGGCGAAGTGTTAAATTTAATAGCTAGGATTTGGTTTCGTTGAGTCTGATTTCTTAAACAATCTTCCAAACAGGATGTCCTGGACATTTCTGAAAGCTCCTACCGTGAGGGCAGTGTATACTGAAAAGATAATGGGGTCAAGTGTGCTGCCTTGAGGAAAATCCGCTTTGGAATAGTAGATGGAGTAGAGAGATTTTAGAATGAAATAATAAATTAATCCTCTTGCGTAAACGCGGGTTCCACACTCCAAAGCTTGTCCCAAGTCAAGGTCAGCACTTGAGAAACATGCCTTTTCGTCAAGATGTCTATCATCCTGCAGCACTTTTGATTGGTAGAGATATGTGTCCTGAATTTGTGGGATGGAATGACGTTAGAGCTTTCAAGAATAGGATATAGGTGTTTCAGGAATAGCTTTTCAAGGATTCTCTCAAAAAGCATACTCTGAGCGCCATGCGGTGTAGAAAGATGTTGAGGTTTTGAAAGAAAAAGTTTTGAAGTAGGTAGTTCTATCGACTTATCTGATAAATCTAACTGTTCTAAATAACTTTTGTTTTGTAATGAAAATTTTGTAACTTCGTAAAGTTTTGTCTCTTGTTATACGAGTTATACGAACCTCCTGGTTTGCTCATTATCGCTGTACTTTAATCCAACGACTTTTAAATAGATTTTTATTTTATTATACTGTTTTATAATAAAATTAACAAAATTTATTTTGAATTGGTCAAAAACAAAAATATTTTCAAGTTACGATGTTATGATAGCTTGTGCCAAAGAGTTTGGACGTTTTTCGCATTTATCCATTAAAATTGAAGTTTTAAGTGTAAAAAACTTTAAGAGTAAATTTCCTTGTATATTTTAAGACAATTTTCATAACATTGCATTAAATGTAATTTTAAATTGTACTGAATTTAACCTATTTGTTTTGAGAGGCTCCGTATCAATAAACCATGAGTTATAGAACTATGCCGTCTGTTCTTATCGGTGCTTGACCTTACCCCTTCGAGAAATTCCGTCAGTTTTTGCTCATTAAAAAGCCATCTTAGGTGAAAAACTATCGAATCCATGTGGATCCTCTAAGAAACTTAGACTTAGTGGGTTTTTTTCTGGTATCACGCAATTCAACAACAATATCGATTATATTTTTGCTAGTAGATTTACATTTTATTTATCGTTATGCATATACTATTGAATTGCATTTTTACAAAATGTATATTTTCCATTGGTCCGAATCCTATTGTTGTTTTGCAAGAGGACATTTTAATATCTAAACACAATAGGAAGGATTCATGAAAGTTGAAATATGGGGCTGTTATGTATTTATTTGACATGAGGGGTTGTCGATTGTTTATCCGACCATGGTTGATGGGCTCGGAAAGGGCTCGTAGATCGGCACGGAGTGGCAGAAAGAATGTCGCCAATGCTGGTTCAAATATAAATGAGCCTCGAGCCTCACAACTGGGTCACATCAAAATTTCAAGATGAGAGGATTTACCTCAGGATCAGTCTCAATTATTCACACAGCCGAGATATTCAGCCGGTTTTATCAAATTAATCATTTTCCAGGTGCCTTTGATTATTTTTCGAGGGGAAAAAATCTTGGCCTGATTTAGAAATCCGCTGGGTAAACATTGACAGATGAAATTTTGAACACGGCTAAACAACACTGGCTGAACGATGAACTGTCATAACAACGTTCCTTATTAACAATAAAAAAAATTGTTCAGTAAAGCGAGGATTTTCATTAAAGAATTTAAATAATCTTGAAAAAATTAAATAAAACAATCCATGCCAAATAGAATTTAATAAATTATGAAATTGCGAGATTCATAATGTAAAGCTGGAAAAACAGCAAATTTTAGACCTCTAATATACTTAATTATTCAGACCGCAATACACACCAAACTTATGAATAAACCAAACACAATAGAAAGCCCCTAGATATGTCAGGTCTCCAGCTTATGAAATTATGTAGATATAATTTACTTGTTTCAGAATTAATTTTTATAATAAGGCAGACAGTTTGTGACCTATTCCTGTATGGTTTAATTTTTTCATAACGTCTAAAAAAAGGTATAAAATCATTGTTTAAAATTGTTTTTTTCTCATCCAGCATGTATTTGTATAATTTAAACAATATTTACAAATCCCTAGCCCTGAAGATGATTTCAATAAAGATCGAAGGTCAGGTCACGATAGCTCAAGTGGTAGAGCAGCATATAAGTATAATTTACTTGTTTCAGAATTAATTTTTATAATAAGGCAGACAGTTTGTGACCTATTCCTGTATGGTTTAATTTTTTCATAACGTTTATCTGTACTAGTTTTAGAGAATTAAACCTTATTTCATTTCTGATTATTTGGAGATCGTGAGACGCGGTCTGGTGTGACATAGGTTTTAGAAAAAAATTTTCTTTATCGTGCCAACATTTCGATCTTTATAATTAATTAAGGTTTTTAGTTGAGATAAAATAGTCAATGGCACGAGCGGGATTCGAACCCACGATCTTCGGCTAGATACGCCGCTACTCTACCACTTGAGCTATCGTGACCTCGATCCACTCGGACA